TCAACCTGGCTCACAGGAACATTCAGCAGGGGAAGCAGGAGCATTGCTCTGCCCAAGCGTCCATCCCCCACCGGGGGAAGGCTGGGGCTGATTTCCCTGCTTACTTAGGGGACCATAGAGGAGCAGTCACACCTTTATGGTCCACATTTACAAAAAAACACACCCTCCTCCACAGAAATTCCTGCTTAAGGGCCTGCATGTGACCTTAAGCAAAGCTTGTCACCATTCCAAGCCAGTTTCCTGACCTGCTAAATGGGAATGATATCCTCTTTTGGAAAGGGATTTGAAATTTTTATGGAGGGGGAAAAAGTGCTATACAGGTGGATTCCATTCATCTGAATTTCAATTATCCCTACAGCTTTGTTTCCCAAATGATGTATCCTTCATGTCTGTGTCTAGACTGGCCAGTTTTTCCGGAAAATCAGCCACTTTTCCAGAAAAACTTGCCAGCTGTCTACACTGGCCGCTTGAATTTCCACAAAAGCACTGACTTCCTACTGTAAGAAATCAGTGCTTCTTGCGGAAATACTATTCTGTTCCCGTTCAGGCAAAAGTTTCTTTTGCACAAAGCTTTTGTGCAAAAGGGCTAGTGTAGACAGCTCAGATTTGTTTTCCGCAAAAAAGCCCCGATCGCGAAAATGGCAATCGGGGCTTTTTTGCGGAAAAGCATGTCTACATTGGCATGGATGCTTTACTTCCAGCCCTGCCCCCCAGCCAAGGCAGCATTCCACCTTCCTTTGTTCCTCTCCATGGGGGGTGTCTGGCCACTGGTTTGCATAGTGACTCATCCTGTTTTGCTGGGTCGTGGTCCCCACGACAGCCAGTGGGGGTTACCCCAGAGCCAGCAGCATAGAAACCAGCCAGGTACCCCCACTACGTCACACCTGCTTACACAGAACAGGCCACTCCTGAGGCAAAGTCATCTGAGTCGCTTGGCATCTGTCCCTAGGAGTTATATGTTGCTTCTGTTTCATTAACACAGCTCTTTGCATTTTGCCCCAGGCAGAATTCTAACAGAGCAGAAGGCAAGGAGAATTTGTCAGTATACTTGAGTATCAAAAGGGTTTGAAAATCAAGCTGTATTTCTTTCCAGTGCCCTCCTCAACCTGGCTCACAGGAACATTCAGCAGGGGAAGCAGGAGCATTGCTCTGCCCAAGCGTCCATCCCCCACCGGGGGAAGGCTGGGGCTGATTTCCCTGCTTACTTAGGGGACCATAGAGGAGCAGTCACACCTTTATGGTCCACATTTACAAAAAAACACACCCTCCTCCACAGAAATTCCTGCTTAAGGGCCTGCATGTGACCTTAAGCAAAGCTTGTCACCATTCCAAGCCAGTTTCCTGACCTGCTAAATGGGAATGATATCCTCTTTTGGAAAGGGATTTGAAATTTTTATGGAGGGGGAAAAAGTGCTATACAGGTGGATTCCATTCATCTGAATTTCAATTATCCCTACAGCTTTGTTTCCCAAATGATGTATCCTTCATGTCTGTGTCTAGACTGGCCAGTTTTTCCGGAAAATCAGCCACTTTTCCAGAAAAACTTGCCAGCTGTCTACACTGGCCGCTTGAATTTCCACAAAAGCACTGACTTCCTACTGTAAGAAATCAGTGCTTCTTGCGGAAATACTATTCTGTTCCCGTTCAGGCAAAAGTGCCTTTTGCACAAAGCTTTTGTGCAAAAGGGCTAGTGTAGACAGCTCAGATTTGTTTTCCGCAAAAAAGCCCCGATCGCGAAAATGGCAATCGGGGCTTTTTTGCGGAAAAGCGCGTCTACATTCGCATGGATGCTTTTCTGCAAAAAGTGCTTTTGCGGAAAAGCGTCCGTGCCAATCTAGATGCTCTGTTCTGGAAATGCTTTTAACGGAAAATCATGCCAATCTAGACGCAGCCCATATGTTTTAAACTTTAAGATATAAATATTAAGAAAGCATCAGCAGTATTCAGTTTTCCTCTCATATTAGTAAAACTGCATTTATACAGTTCATCTTAGTGAAAAGGCTGAGAAGTGATAGAAACTGCACCTAAAAATATTACTTTGTTTTATCTGATTGCAGTTGTGCAATAAATACCCATGCCATTTTGGACTGATGGAATTCCCTTGTATAAGACAAACTGTTTTTATTATTAATTGTGCCACAATGCCCCTTGGAGTATTTTTCTTTTAGAGATCATCATTCATATGATTGTTACTTTTTTCCTGGCTTGTATTCTCCCCGCCCCCCCCACACACACAAAATAATGGGGCTTAAGTAGCCTGGGAAAAAAATGGAAACTAGGCTTGATCTAAAGCCTGTTAAATCAATGGGATTTTAAACATTCATTTAACAAGCTTTGGAATCAGCTCTGCTATCACTTGTATTTTTTGAAAATATCTTCTGAATAAATTTAATACTGAGTGTATTTACTTTGGTGGAAAACTTGCAGGACGCTATTGATCTAAACATCCATCTCGTATCTTCAACACCACCCCCTTGTTTAGCTGAAAAGTTCATTAGTCATGTAAACTATTTGTAATTTTTTAAAACAACAGATATTTTCAGGCTCCCTTTCCCATTAAAACAAGATCAATGACACCAGCCCAAAGTGCTATGCATATGCAATGGAAAGGGGTGAAGATATTTTTAAAATAATGAAAATTAATTGGCTAGTGTCCTCTAAGATTGTTTTAGATTTTTAAAATGCCCATTACCAAAGATGGTTTAGTTAGTTATCACCTGAATATATTTTTCGCGGTACAATTATGTAGCTTAAGTCGAAATA